TCTATATACTATTGAGCTAAACTCTTTGAAGCAGAAATACTATTTATAATTTTTTAAGAAAGTGTATTTTTGCTTTTAACAATCCTAAATACTTATATTAGGCAGGTCCAACCAAACTCAGTTGTTACCAAGTAAAAGTACATAGAACAGGTTATAAATCTTGAAGAATTACCAGTTGTCTGCTTGCAGTTTTATGTCAGAAGTGTTCTTAGCGTGCTAAGCTGCATGCACTTCTGGACACTGACAAGGCCTTGCGGTTGGGTAACTAACCACTTAATGGGGGAGGGGGATGGCAGGGGCAAGAAAAGCCATCATGTTTACACATTTTAACAGACTACAACTAGAGGCTATGGGAAGTGATAGGCTTTCATATTGTCTTCTATACGCTTATATACTGTGTGCATTCAAATATTGGGGGTAACTTAATGAGCTGAATGCAAGTAAAAACATTTCCCCCTTTCTTGTAACCTCTCCCCACAAAAAAGAACTTGAAAAGTATATGGCAAGAGGTCAATAAGCTTCAATGTGCAATTCTATCTCTGTGGACCGACATTAACCCAGAACTACAGCATCATATTCAACTTAATATAGAAACTCCTGTCATCAACACTTTGTGTCAGCATTTCCATAGCAAAGACATAGCATTCTGTTATTGCTAACTTGGGCAAATTAATCAAATTTCATTTTAGAGTTAAATAAAGAAAGATGCTGATCTACATAAATGAAACTTTTCCTTCCAAGAGGAGGAGGACAAACGGGAAAAGTCAAATGCTACAGACATGCCGAGGATGCCACAGGAAAATGTTTCTTGGGTACTATTAGAAGACTGTAAGCCAAAATAAGGGTGCTAGAGTGCTTTGGTTTTATAGGAAGATGGAGATAATAGGTATGGTTGAAACCTGGTAGAATAAAGAGAACCAGTGGGAAAATGTTCTCTTTAGAGCCAAATTCTATCAGAAGAATAGGGAATACTTCACTGTACATCTAAATAAATATGTGATAGCATGTAAAAAGCAGTCAGAGGCAGGAAATAAGCAAAGTAATAACTTTGCTTATAACCTAATAACTTAAGCTTAATAGGTAATAACAAGAGACATCTACAGGTAGTCCTTGACTTACGACCATTTATTTAATGACTGTTCAAAGTTACAAAGGTGCTGAAAAAAGTGACTTATTACTGATCCTCACAGTTACAACCGTTGTAGCATCCCCACAGTCACATGATCAAAATTTGGGTGCTTGGCAACTGGCATGTATTTACAATGGTTGCAGCATCCTGGGGTCACACGATTGCCATTTGTGACCTTCCTAGGGGTTCTGACAAGCAAAATCAATGGGGGAAGCCGGATTTGCTTAACGACCATGTGATTCGCTTAATGATCATGGTGGTTCACTTAACAACTGCAGCAAAAAAGATCATAAAATCAGGCACAACCCACTTAATGACCGCATCACTTAGCAACAAAAGTTCCGGTCCCAATTGTGGTTGTAAGTTGAGGACTACCTGTACTATTATAAAGCCGGTTTAAATATTCTCTGGCTTTTAATTTGTCAAATGCTATTGCTGTTCTTTGTCTCCATCAAGGATGTATATTGGAAAATTAGCTCTCTATTTCTGTCTGATAAATATTCTGTTCTGAAATGGTCATTTTATAAAATTTCTGTGATAATGAGTCCAAACATTGCATTGCTATATGTTACTCTTATTACTTATAAGAGATTGTATATATCTCACTTTTAAAGGATCAACATTTTGGTAACTAAGAATCTTAAATTCTGTTTCACTGCAGATTGAAAATATAATTTCCACGTATAGCTTTAACTAATTGTTTTTTAAAAGGGATAGTGTTAAGAATATTCTTTAGTTTGACGGACGAGAAAGAGAAACCTCTGGGTTTTTCTGGCAGCATATACAGTACATATGCTGTAATTTAGTATCTATATAGTATATCCTATTAAACAAGAAAATTAAGAGTCTTCTGATGCCTTATAGACAAAAGTTTCTGTGACAATAAATGTTACTTTGTAAGATATTAAATAAATCTATTCATCTTAAAGGTGCCATAAAGCTTCTGTTCTTCACGCAGTGTATTCATACATTTATCCTTACATACATAAAGAAACTTTACACCTTGGCAGATCTCTGGTCTGTTAATCTAAGTTAATATTTATTTTCCATTCTCTATTACTATGGCACACCATGAAACAGCCTAAAAAAGTCTCCTTGTTAAAATTAGTACTGTACTCTTGATTAATTACCTGGAGCTTTAATGAATTTATTGATTAAAGTTTGCTACCTTATTTGCTTTGTGATATACAACAGGAAGCACAATTGATTAATTATTTCTTGGCAGAAAGTTGTTGGAGATCTGTATAGGAAAAATTTTCTATACAGAAGCTAGCAAACTCATGATTCCGTAAAACTGCTCCTGTTTACATGAGAATGAAAAGATTGCTGTGGTACAGAGAACTGGAGGCATTAATTCATATTCTTATGCCAGGTTCTAAGGCTACTGAATCTCAGTCTATTCTATCCTTACAGGGAAGGTTACTGCAGGATTCAAATGATATAAACATATTTTATGTCCTCTTTTGAACTTTTCATAGTGCAAACAAAGCAGACACTCAAGATTTGTTTCTTGCAATGGTTATCCTTAGCTGTACTGATGTTAAAGGAGTGTTTCCCCCTTAAGCTGAAAATATCTATAGGCAGCCTCAAGATGAGTGAAATCTGTTATGCTTCACCCTCTTACACAAGAAGCAAAGTCAGGTGACCAGCAGTGGGTGAGATCAGAGAGGTGCTAACTGGCCATTTCAGGCTAATTCAGACATGCCCTTCCCACCCGGCCCTGGTCTGTCTAATCTGCCACCATTCTGCTCTTGCCCTTTAAGGAGCTGGAGACAGCAAAGCTATGCTGGAGATCCTTTGGATCTGCCCAAGGTATCATGACTGTTTAGCCAGCAGTACCTTAGTAGTTTAAGTCTCTAGCCCTGATCAGTTTAGTGCAAGGCTGAAGTAATGTAAGAGTGAAATAATGGTACCAGCTGTCAGGCTTCACACCAGAGTTCAGCAGTAAATCTCAGCTCTTCAGACGATAATAGCCCCTTATTCGAAACCAGGCTTACTCAACAGAAGCTTCTCAGACATAATTCAGCTAGGTTAGTGTCTTTAGGGTACACAATCCCTCCATTTCAGAGCTGCCTGTTCAAGTCTCACAGTTCCCAAATCTTCCAGGACAGGCAGTAGTCCTGCCTGATCACTGCAATCATTTAATGAGGCACTTCTGGGTGTGCTATACCTTGTGGACATCCATTGGTGTCAAGCAGGAAAAGGGATTTTCAATGTAATGGTTGCTCCCTCTCCTTCTCTAGAGATGTGCAGGCTGACATAATTTCTATTTACCTTGGCACAGACATTCATGATGCTACTGTTTCAGTATTTAGGGGCACTGGTTAAATTGGTTTTTATATTTTAATGTCTTTCAATCTTTATATTGCTTTAATATTTTATTGTACCCACATGGTTCCTACTTGCATGCCATCAAGTGCCACACTGCTGCTGTTCAAATATTAGGAAAAAAAAATTAACAACTGGTTTGCAGAAACTGGCTGAACTGGTAAGGTAACACCCAGGCAGAGGTCCAAACACCTTAAAAGCTACAATTCTACTCAGGAGTAAGATTTTGCTCATGATCAGCTCTTTTATAGGGACCTGAAACCTCGGAATGTGCTTCTTTGCCTACCATTCGGTACAGTTTTGACTAGCTTCTGTCCTCCTTTGCTTGATGGCTTTTGAATGGTCTCCTGCTTTTACTTCTGTTCTTCTGATTTCAGGCTAGATTAGTACAACCTATGTGAAATAACCTGTGGAGTCTTTTTTGTTATTATCCTGCTATTTGCCAGCCTGAAACATCCAAAACACCATATTGGCCTTGTTTCATAAGAAAAACAAAGAACCTTTCCTCCTTTTTTATGTTTTCTGAACTCAAGGGATTTTGTATCTATTTCCTCTTCAGTAACTGACCTTTTCATGTATCTGACAAAATGGGATGTGGTCTATGAAAGCTAATGCCACAATATACTGATCTAGCTCATAAGATGTCACCAATCTCCTCCTGTTTTCTCTGAAAAGGAATTATTAAAATCTTTTTTGATCTGAGTACTGTCCTGGAAACTCAAGATGTTGACAGTTTAGAAAACGTACAACTTAATTACAACACAACTGTAGGTATGCTTCAGTAGGTTTCCTATACTAATGGTGGTGGTGAGCATCTTAGTTATTTGTACAGTCTGGCCACACGCTTGCTCGCCTTCAATCTGAAAAGAATGGGAGTAGAAGAAAAATTCCTGACAGCACTGTATTATTCTATGGAACAGGAAGCCCAGCCTAGGGCCTATAAAAATTAGACAGCCTATGAATACATTTTTTGACCAATTTTAAAAATGTGTATGATAAAATCTTTATTATCTTTTTAAAAAAATAGGTACATTGCAAGGATAGGCAGTACGTACAAGCAAAGAAGGAGAATCATGGCAGTATCTGTCTTTTTTCCATACAGTAAAAGGAATATAAATGGAAAACTCTTATTCTACTCAAAAATTATCCAAGTTCATTCATCTAATATAACATGGGTCATCCTTACTAAAGATGGGGGGGCATACTAGTTACCAACATACCATATCGTAATATCCTTGGACTAATATACTGGCAGGTCATACATCCTGCTTTGCTATCAGAAAAGAAATTGAAGATAATTCCCTCTAGAAATTGTTACCCTCATAAAAAGAATCAACCATCTATGAAACAGGAGCACTCAAGCCTGAAAGGTCTCTAGTGTACACCTGGATATTGACTATTTATACTGCATGTAAGTGGTGTCCACACCATGGTGCTGCTGGATGCCAATATGCTGGTAGATCTCCCTTTGAACCCCTCTGGGCTACCTGCCCCACCCTTTAAATGTATTTACATTCCACTACTCAAAGGAGAGAATACTTACATTATCATTGCTTCCTTTGTTGTCCTCATACTTTGTTTCTATGTGAATGGAGAACTTGGGCAAAAATGAGCACTGCAAAGAAAACAACATATAATACAACAATTGTAACCATGAACAACTTCATGACTTCATCTGTCCATTTCAGTATCCTGGCTGTAGCTCCCACCGACCTCACATTCAGGAGAATCAGCAGGACATTTATAGGTGTGAAATCTCTATAAGGACTGGGGAAAAAAGTAATAGCCCACAAGCCCAACAGTCTCAACATCCATGAATTTTTCAGTCCATGGACAGTTTCCTATATTTTGCTGGCAAGTGACACTTTCATCAGTTGGAACTGAAGCATTTGCTTTATGGGAAGACAGTTATGCTGAACTTGCAAGGGTAAGCAACAAAAGCAAAACAATTTCTAGGGGGGAAAAAAAACTTCAGGAGGAAAAGCAGGAGAGTGGATGTAACAGGTATGTGAACTGAGGGATGTTTAATCATTTTGCCACCTACCACATTTCCACTGCCAAATAATCCAAGTCATTTTTCCTGCCACAGAATTCCAAGTTTGGAGACGTTTTTCATTAATGTAACACTTTCCAGATTTATACCAAATACAATAGAATGAAATTAGCATTATCATCATCATCATAGTAAGATGTTAACCGAAGTATCTTCATGTCCCTCAGCATAAAGAAGCCTCACAAACTGATTTTAAATGACGTGTCCTCATGACATCACCTTTGTCTCATCCCCAGTCTACAAGGGAAGCAACTTCAAAAGGAGTCTTTCCTCCTCCAGACACAATTTTGGCCATGGGCACAGTCTAGCACACAACTGACAATGTGCTGGAGGCTGCAATCTACACATCTCCGATGCACCATTTTAGGCTGCTATGGGCAAGAGCCCTCCTCTGGTTACCAGGCACTGGGCTCCTTAGCCAAGTTGGCTTGAACTGCAGGAATGACCAGACATCAGCTTCCACATTGGAATCTACTCATGTTACACCCAAATGGCACTTTCCATAGCATTTGTCACATCTTACATAGCGTCTTTATAATCGCTGGTTCAGAACTTTCTTGAGTCTGGATGTGTTTTTTCAACATGGGTTTCAAGTCTTGTGCTGCACAGAAGTTTGACTTACACCAGGAAAGAGCGCTGGGTTCTGCTTGTTCTGTCCCCAAGGAGAGCATTATAAATGTTCTGCTGCTTTTGCTGACAAGGGGTTTAATGCGGCTGTGCTTTTTACTGGGGCGGACACTGCCACTCGCAGCAAATCTCAGAATAAGTAGAGAGACTCAACTGCATGTACGCATTCCTGTCAATGCAAATAATTACAGAATTCCACCCAGATACGTCCATGCTTCAGTACAAAGAGAACAATTTACCAGAATAACACAAAAGCTGTCAGTTGAAAGGGCCTGCTCTTGGAGGCTGTGCCCAGTTCTTTCATCTCTCAGGAACCAACAGAAGCATTTGGGGCTGCTGGGTGAAATGGGAGAGCATCCAGGAGAGATGCTGGGTGAAATGGGAGGGAGTGCCCCTGGTGCTTTACTTAAGCCTCCCTTTGTCCCGCTGACCTATTAGCTGGACTGTTTTTGGACAGGCGTATAGTGCTCCTTCCAAAGAGTGCTGGATCTGTGTTTAAATAGCACCCCTGGGCTTATGATTTGTTAGGCGGGCAACTTAATGGCAGGTGAACCTGCCATTCCAAGCACCATCTACCCTTGGCCAATGTTGCTACCACCACACATTAAGGAAAGGGGCTGTTGGTTATTTTTCCTGCTGGCAGGTGATATTTGATTGAAGAAGAGACAAAGCCAAGGGAATTCACCCACTGCTTCCCTTGTCTTGCATTAAGCACCATTCACCAGCCTCCTTACTGAGACAGAATAGGGTTTAGCAGCCAGGCAGAGCAATTTATGCTGGCATACTTTTCTGCCAATTTAAGCACTGGAGGAATGCATGTTAACATGGCTATGACGAAGAACCCAAAGAATTACAGAATAAAGGCATCTACCCAGATTATTAGCCGAATGCAAGCCTTTCAAAGAGAACACAGTGTGTAGAAGCTGGATTTTTGCCTAAATGTTTGTTGAATGACAAAAGAGCACAGCCCAGGGAAAGCATGCTTTCCCTGCAGAAGCTAATCCATTTTTTAAAATAAGGATAAAGTAGCAGCTGACAGGTAAGGCCATTTTCCTGAGACTCTGGAGAATTACTCCCATTCATTTTAGGCAAACTTACTAAGATGAGCAATAATCTGGCTTGTATTGGCAGCTTAATATATCCTAAAGTACCTTAATAATTGTGCTTTGGATCTAGGATTTCCTCCATTTTTAAATTACCCCTGCTTCTGCAGTACCCACTTCCAACTCCCCAAAGTCCTCTGATCCTCTAGAGCTGCTGGGAGAAAAGGAATTAAAGGAAGATCATCACCTTCCCTGTTCCCATTGTGTGTGAGTGGCAGATTCTGGATTCAACCTATGGCTTTAGAATGCCCTCCTATAGCCTTTTTCTTTAACTTACGGAAAAGAGTTTCCAGAATTCTAAAAATTGCAACACATTGGGATCATAATGGTTAGGAAAAAGAAATTGAACAATTCTCCTTTGAAAATGGAAACATACAGAAATCAAAGTGGAGTGTTGATTGATTGATTGATCAAATGCATATGTTGGATGTTTTAGGACTAAGTGTATGTTTGGAAATATTTAAAATTTGGCATCAGTTGATTTAACAACAAGAGGTCTCATGCCTTGCCTAGTATGCCATTTTGTGTCCTATTTTAAGGAAAGGCTAATCCTTCCTATTATTAGATTTTTGCTATCCCTTAACCCATAATCTACAACACAATCTATATATTATGCAGTACTTATCAATATTTAGCAGTAACTAACTAAATCTAGATTACAACAGAAGTACAACCCCATGTATTCATTGTACTTTAGCAAAGCTAGAAAATTACTGCAACATACAGAATTCTAGGTTGTTTGTTTACAAACCAACTAAATGTTACCTTAGTGACAGCATATTAATTCATGCAAGAAGTAAAATCAGGTGCAAGATACAAATGCCAAAAATTAATGTTGTAAGTGTATTGAAATTTAAGACATAATTCCTTTTTCCATTTCCCTTGAGCATACATTTCTCAAGTACAAATATGGCATTTTTGTTAGTACACATGGCATATAAAGGAATACATAGAGCGTATTTTCTAATTTCCTATTTAACATCTCTAGAGGTTGCCAGGTGCTACTCTAGGGATAAATAATAATTAATCAAAATAATACTTGTAAGAGATTTAGAAAGTCTACAATACTCTGCCACAAACTGGAGCAGGAAACAGTGAGAATCTCACTCTAAATGTTCACTTTGTCAAATTTTTGAGAAATTTGAGAAATTTGATTTATTAAATCCTAACAAATTCCCCTAAGCCAACATTTCCTTTGCATTCCCCTTTCTGAGACTCCTGTACTTGATGGGTCTCCTACCACAAAATCAATTTGTTCCAGATGCGATTGTGTAGAAATTTTTCAGCATATTTGAAAACGGGTATCATACCCTCCCTATTTAAAGCTAAACACATTCACTTGCCAATCTCTCCTCCTGGCACTCAGTTTAAATCCCTCTGATAATCTTGATTGTCTTTCCAATCTGTTTGAATGTGTGGTGCCCAGAAGGTGTGGTTTCACCAATGCGGAACAGAAGGGAACTCCTTCTTCTCCTGGTTTGGAAACTATTCTTCTCTTGATGAAATCTAAAACTGGGTTTGCTTTTTTTGCAGCCACATCACATTGCTGACTGAGAGCTTGCTCTCATTTCCCCAAGAACAAATGCCAATCCGGAGAGCTGTTATTTGAGTTTTTATTCCTCAAGAAAAAAACGATGCATTCATTTTCTCTGATAAATTTCATGCTGATATTATCTGCCCATTTTTGTAAATATCAAGATCATTTCTGTCTTCTACGGTATTAGCTAGTAGTAATTGTTACTGAGAGTAGCCCCCGGAAAAAAATACTCTCTTTTTGCCTTCATTTTTGCCTTTGGAGAAAATATTGGTGGTATTTATTAAAAATGTGTCAGTCTGCATAAATCTGCTGACAACTTCTCAAAGTTTCAGCCCTCTCCCAGATCTCTAACACCAATGGGAAAATGCATGCTGGCTCTAGTGCACATGATTACAAAGGGCTATGCTTGTTCCCCACCCATCCTGTGCCCAGAACTGTTTATCTTCACATATTTTAATATACAACCAGTAGAGAAGAGCTTTCAGCACTCCACTGTGGAGAAAAAGCAGAATAAACTGAAACGTAATTAATTGCTAAGACAACTTTTTGAGTATTCCCTAGACAGAGGAAGAAGAGAAAACAGCCATGGAAAACACATAGCGATAGTCAAATTTTAAATTCACTACAGATGCCTTCTTCTAAAAAAGAAAAAAGAATTAAGGCTATTTTTAGGGTGATGATTGATTAATGTTGCCATAGCAATAAGAAGCAACTGCATGAACATGCTCTAATTTGCGTAAGCCAAGACAAGTGCCAAAGAATTAAAGACACCAAACAGAAAATACATGGCATTTTTCTATCAGCCTGTGGTGACTGCTATATTTGTGATCTTTCCATACCAACTGCATTTGAAATGATGATGAGATTACAATATTCTGAAGTAGGAATATTGAAAATTAAGATAATTAACATTTCTCCACTCTTCCATCTGAGGAACCCGTGATGAATAATCAAGCCAAAACTGTTTCATGTGGTAATATCTAATGCTACCTTTTCCAAAATAGCTGAACAGATTCTTAAGTCATTCCTCATTATTCTGCCCTTTAGAGGCATTAATTCTGAGTCACTGGAAATTATTTGGGGTCTATCAAATAAAAAATGAAGAGTAGAAATGGAATATTCATATACCAATTGCTTCCTTCAACTGCATTAGCTGGTAGTTCAGGGACTAGTAAGGATTTGATGCCCATGAAATGAACAGCAACCAGGAAATTGCAAGGTAGAAATCACTTTGAAAAACAGGGATACTGAAGATACTAAAGTATAAAGGGACAATAAACCTGAGAGACCTCAGT